TAGAGTTCTTATAACAATCTCTAACCAATCGACCAACAATGGTTTCAAACACCAAAGATAAACCACCGTGGTTGCTCTCAGCTGATGATAGATCACAGTGGAACATTGGGAAGCAGAGCACAAATTGCTATGGACTTCATAAATCAAAACCAGAGTGATACATAATTGGAAGCTGCTTTATGGGGAGCCAGACCATTGGTCTATCTGGCACAGTATTACATTCCCCAAATGGCAGAAGCTGTCCAAGGTGCCTAGCAGAGGTCTCTCCCAGTACTTCTACCAGAGAGCGATTATCTAGAGAGACTGGAGATTGCACCTGGGACTTTCTGTAAGCAAAGAATGTGCAGAATATCCAGAAACCAGGTATGGTTATGTTTGACAACATTGATGATTTCTGTTTTCTTTTTTTATTGTTCATTTGCTGAACAGCACAGCTACCACCTCTGCCTCATATGAAAGCATTTTCTTGGCTGTCCTATAGCTCAAAGGTTGCCAACTAAAAAAAAAAAGTTTTCCCAGCCACTTTGCTGCCTCAGCGGTTTCTGTGTCACGCAGAAGCAGCTTAGCCGCTGGGGAAGAGATAGAGCGTTGCGGTCCAGAGATCTTTTAAGGGAACAGAAGAAGCGGGGTCATGGATACTGGTTTCACTCAGTGACTATGTGAGTGACATGGTAGCTATGTGTCACACAGAGAGACCTTGCTACTTGGCAGGCCTGAAGGAGACTAAACAGGCTATTGGTGAGGTATGAAACTGCTTGGAACAGGAATGGATTGCTCCTCCAAACAGTCAGCGAGGTCATGCAGAAAGTCAAGGACTAAGAAAGAGGCCGACCTATGAAGTACATGATGATTGAAGATGGGGGGGGGATGACAGCAGGGGGGAAAAACCCAAGTCACTAAGAAAAAAATAAGTTATAAACAACCTCCAAGAGAATCTATTCTTTGTGTGTGTGTGTGTGTGTGTGTGTGTGTGTGTGTGTGTGTGTGTGTGCTTAAGGTAGAGATTTAATGATGGTTGAGATGCAAAACGATCATCCAGCTTTCAATTACCTTTTCAGACGCCCATGGCTTTAACCAGCCACTAATGTCTGCAGAAAGAGACTTCACTTTTGTGCTGTTCATGGCACTTCAGTGAAGATTCAATCCAGTCCTATTTTTTTTGTGTGCCCAGAGAAATAAGATAATGGAGACTCCCCAGTCTCTTGCACTGAAAAGGGAAGCAAGGAGGATGCTGCCTTTGAAAAACAAAATGGATGTAACTATTTTCTGCCTACCAGGATGAAAGAACTCAGCAATCCCTAGGAGTCAGCAGTAAAGTACTACTGAAGCATTAAAGTACTCCCATATCTTCTACTTGCAGTTTATAGCTTTATCCTGCCAGTAGCAGTAATGCTGGAGTTTAAGAGATAAGGAAGTAGGGGAACATCCAGCAGCAGACCCACCAGCCAGCAACTACCAATCAGAATGAATGTTAGGAATAATTGTTGGGTTATCCTCAATTCATCCTCAAAGTATTCCCTATGAGCAAGATTCCAGTCCAGCAGCAACACAGCTTAATGTCGGACTCACAGCGAACAATGGAATACACTCTTGCAGGAAGGTTTTATTTTATTGAAGCCATGAAGTACTTAAAACAACTTTTCTGTTCGGAATAACACAAAGGGCTTGAGACTGGGATAATAAACCAAGTTCAAAATAACATGGGCCAATAGATATGGTTCCCGCGCCCACCTTGAGGCTCATCTTGCGCTCAAACCTTGAGAAAGCAACGGCTGTAACTATTTGTACAATACTTTTGTTCTCACACTACTGCTTATTATAGACTAAGCAAAAAGCCTCCAAAAGTGCACCACCTGTAGCTTTGGCTGATAAGATTCCTTCAAAGCAACTCTAGCGTACATGGAAAGGAATGCAGTTAACTATGAGCGCTGGAGGGTGAGGGGGGACATGCGCACCAGAGTGTAAGCCAGTTAAGGGAAGGCAATATGGGGGGGGGTTACACACATCTCATATACATGGAAAAGGCATATTGGCAGCTTGCTGACATACTGCCCCCTCGAAAATCCATTTACCACCCACCTCCCGGTCAGGGTGGGAGACCTCCTGGTTTCCCCGGGAACTCCCGATGAAACTTTCTGAGCATGTTAGGGGCCCGAATATCCCCTACTTCCACCCATTTGAGGTGCTGTGGTCCGAAGTCCTTCCATTCAATCAAGTAAAGCAATTTTCCACGTTTCAGCTTAGAGTCCAGGATCTTTGAAATTTTGAAATGGGTTTCCCCCTCCACCAAGATATGAGCAGGAGGGGAGCGGTTCTCTTGCCACTGGCAAGACCCATTGTCTTTCTTCAGAAGGCTGAAATGAAACACAGAATGTAAAGATCTCAAGTTCTTAGGCAGTTCAACATCAGCAGCCACCTCACTGATAACCTTGCGCACTTTGAAGGGTCCAATGTATTTCCAGCTGGGTTTATGGCTGAGCCGCAACAGTTTAATGTTCTTTGTAGACACATACACCAAATCACCAGGCCGTAGAGCCCAACCCTCCACCCTACCCCTATCGGCCTGTTTCTTGTAGGCATCCTTGGCCGCATTCAAAGTTTTACAGAGCACTGGCAAAGCCTCTTGTAGAGTCTTACACCAGGAACCAGCATCACCAGTTCCCACCACTGACTCCCCCTCCAAAAATGGCATGGGGGGACTATCATATCCATAAATGGCTTTAAAGGGAGACATCCCAATAGATGTGTGACATGTGTTATTGTAACAATATTCAGCAAGAGGCAAGAGATCACACCAGTCGTCTTGTTGATAGTTAGTAAAGCAATGA